AATGTACTTCAGTAAAAAGTACCCATAACTAGCAGCTGTTTTAAAGAGTACCTGACCTCCCTTTATATTAATAGAACAATAATGTCATTGTTAGCTAATGAATGTTTCCATGCTGAACAACGGCAACATGACAACGTTTCCATTGGTCCCTCTTCTTTAGAGAAGACCAGGAAATGATGGATACACGGATCGTGTTCAAATCAATAGGCACGCAATGACTCTAAATAATAATGATCACGCCACCAAACACACATTCAGACTAAAGGAACCAGCCTGTTTGGGAAATGAGAGAAGTAGAAAGTACAGGTATTTGAGTTCAACATGTAAGAAGTAGAAAGTACAGGTATTTGTGTTCAACATGTAAGAAGTAGAAAGTACAGGTATTTGTGTTCAACATGTAAGAAGTAGAAAGTACAGGTATTTGAGTTCAACATGTAAGAAGTAGAAAGTACAGGTATTTGAGTTCAACATGTAAGAAGTAGAAAGTACAGGTATTTGAGTTCAACATGTAAGAAGTAGAAAGTACAGGTATTTATGTTCAACATGTAAGAAGTAGAAAGTACAGGTATTTGTGTTCAACATGTAAGAAGTAGAAAGTACAGGTATTTGAGTTCAACATGTAAGAAGTAGAAAGTACAGGTATTTGTGTTCAACATGTAAGAAGTAGAAAGTACAGGTATTTGTGTTCAACATGTAAGAAGTAGAAAGTACAGGTATTTGTGTTCAACATGTAAGAAGTAGAAAGTACAGGTATTTGAGTTCAACATGTAAGAAGTAGAAAGTACAAGTATTTGTGTTCAACATGTAAGAAGTAAAAGTAAAAAGTCGTCAGAAAAATAAGTAGTGGAGTGAAGTACTGAAACCAGAAACATGTACTTAAGTACCACTACTTCTCACCTCTGGTTCTGACACATATAAACACACACACAGATTAAAAAGTGCTCAGGTGTGCTCAGGTTTTACCTTGTATAGCGGCCGCCTCACATCGATTGGACAGCTCTGAATGACCTCGTCAACAATGTCAGAGATTGGCTGTATGAAGTCTGGGTTAGCGAACTGAAAAACACACAATTACACAGAAAAAAGAACATGGTCATTATAACAAGTCAGCATTCAGATGGAATAAAAGACAACAGGCTTCAAAGCACTAGTCAACTATGTCTATTTCTTATCTACTGGCTTTACTATACACAGTTTTTATTAGAAAAGTAAATAATGAGTTTTGGGGGTTCCTCAGGGTCTATATTTCAGATTTTGTTAAAGTTTTATGATTTTGTTTTAAATGTCACAACACTTCAAATAAGATAATCCTTTATTAGTCCCACAACAGGGGGAGCAATTACAAGTGATTGATGCTAATGCTCAGTTAGCAACCACCTGCTTATTCCCGTCCTGCAGTCACAGAGCAACAGGAGGATTTATGGGATAGTCTTTTTCACTTTTAGCAAAGTTACCTCTGGGTGGAAGAAGATTTCAGGGCCGAGGAAACGCTCGTAGCCGACGTCGATGTTGAAGTCGGTCTTGGTGACGGCGTTGACTCCGTGGTACTGTTTGATCCATCTCCCCGGGTCAGAGTCGAACTTTGAGAACTCCTTCACGATGTCCGGACAGATGTAACAGTACCGCTCCTACACACGGAATAACACAGAAATGAACGAAAAAGGGAGGAAGATTATGGAGGACGAGGAGTAAAAGAGAAGTATAGGAGGAGGAGGAGGAGGAGGAGGAGGAGGAGGAGGACGATGACGAGGACGAGTCAATCTTCTTATCAATGGCCATATTTATATTGGGGGTTCCTCAGGGTCCCATTCTCGGGCCACTATATTTTCAGATTGTTTTAGAATAGAGAAGGAGTAAAGGAAAGAATAGAAAATGAAGAGGAGGAGTAAATGATGAAGAGGAGGAGTAGATGATGAAGAGGATGAGTTCACCTTGATGGCCTTGGCGGTCTCCAGCGACTGCTCGGGGGGGATTCCTGCCTCTCGGTCTCTGAGCAGCTGCTGGATAAAGAAGGTGATGTCCCGCCCTGCGATGGGGATGTGTTTTATACAGCTGCCAATCACGTAGCCCTCAGCCTGTGACGGACAGCAGCAACGACCAATCAGTGAGCAGAGAGCAGTATCTAGGTTTGCTATTGTGAACTAATATTAGAGCAGTGGTTCCCAACAGGGGGTACGGGGACCCCTACGGGGTACTTGAGGGGGTTGCAGTAGAAAGATTAGGCATTGCAATATATTTCCTCACAAAACATTTTTTTAAATCAATGTTCATAAGCCTGGTGTCCCGCCCCCAGAACTATCAAAGCTTATGAAAGACAAGCTCAAGTGTTTCATTAAAAGCTCTAGTCTTAACAAAAGATGTTGAAACTGCTAGAAGTGAGTCTTAATTTTATTATTTTCACTGACAATAAGAATCAATATATCAGTTTAAATGCATTTGTATTAAGGGTTTTCATCTAAGGAGCAGTTGGGTTGAAAATTATTACAAAGGTTTTAATACAAGTATTTGTTTTGGCAAATCCTCACAGATGAGTGAGGGGGTTCTTATAGAATGGAGACCAGCTCAAGAGACAAACAAGGTTGGGAACCGCTGTATCAGAGGACACTCACCACAGGGATGGCGTGTGTGACTCCGTCTCCGCTGTCGATCACGACCCCGGTCAGCGTTCTCTCTCCGACCTGACGAGACGTCCAGGACGCCGCCAACGCCAAAACCGCCTGAAGAACGGAGGGTTAATTCATCCATTAGTCGCTTGTCCAATTTTAGACATGAGTTCTATTTTAAGATGAGAAAAACATTGCAAGAGTAGTTTACTCTTAAACTTTTTTAGCACATATTTCTTTGGGAGTTAAGAAAAATACACATTTTTAGTTTCCAATTAAAACAATTCAGATAATTTTTCCAGAAGTTGCTCTTCTTGTTTCTCACCTGCACTGCGATGTAGAGCCCGGGGATGTTGAAGGTCTCGAACATGATCTCTGCCAGATACTCTCTGTTCTCAGGAGTGTTGAGAGGAGGCTCTGTCTACACACACACACACACACACACACACACACACACACACACACACACACACACACACACACACACACACACACACACACACACACACACACACACACACACACACACACATTAAACTGTGTGTAAGCGTGGTACCAATGTGTGTGTGTGTATATCTGTGTGTATGTGTGTATATATATATATATGTATGTGTGTGTGTGTGTGTGTGTGTGTGTGTGTGTGTGTGTGTGTGTGTGTGTGTGTGTGTGTGTGTGTGTGTGTGTGTGTGTGTGTGTGTGTGTACCCACCATGAGGAAGCTGTGGTCTTCAGGCTCAGCTCTCAGGTATTTGAAGATGATTTGCTCCATAAACTTCTCCATCAGGTCCCAGTCCTCCACCATGCCGTGACGGATAGGCCACTAAATAAATAATTAAAGCTATCATAGTGGAACAATAACATCTGTATGAATGTATTCTATTTAAAGAACTGAGTGTATTCTAGTATAACAGTACACTGAATCTACGAGCATGAATCCCATTGTGGAGGTCCTTCTCGTACCTTGGTAGCGTAGTTTGGTTTCTCTGCAGCTTCGTCTCCGATGTAGAAGTCCAGATCTTCCACTCCTTTCACGAGTCTCCTCTGAGCCTGATCCCCGACGCCCGCCCACTCCCTGATGGCGATACCTGAAGAAAACATCAACACCTGATACTGAAAAGGTTTTTGTAAGGCGTAGAAAGTCAAGTTGTGAGAGTCAGTATTTAGTTTTCATAGGAAAGGCCACCTAATCGGGACGTCTGAAGTCAAACAGAGTATAAAAGACTACAATTTACAAAAACTCTGTTTCTGTAATTTATATTTAATTTGGTTAATTTTAAATCATTAAACATGGTCATTTTAGAATGATGTTATATTAATATATGCAAGTTGAATTCATCAGATCAGTGTGAGGGTAAGAAAGGATCTTACAGGACGGCATGATGAACTGAGGCTCCGTGTTTCCTGCATAGCCGATCTTTGTGTACCTGCAGAGAGGTAAACAACAACAACAAACGTTTATTATATGTAAACATTTCGATAATGCCAACACTAGGTTACAACAGTCACATGACTTCAGGTCACCTCCTAGCGCTGCTTACAATTTCACATTTTAGTACACGACTATATTCACTGACCGATTTAAAAAACATATAAAATGGTCTGGAAACTCCTTCATCGGACTCCTTTGTTTACTTCTGGAACATGGTGACATCACTGTGTAACACTAGTGCTCCAACAGTCAGTGTGTCCTCTTAAATCTGTGTCATAAATCTGATAATATCTCACGCTCCTATTGGCTAGCGCTCCAACAGATTGTACGTGATAGGCTAAGGGGGCGGGACATCTTTAAGAGGTTGACCAATCACAGCAGAGCCGGCCAGCTAGCCAATCAGAGCAGACTGGGCTTTCTCCAGTTTCCTGCTCCACTTCCTCTCAGGATTAATTCATGGCTTTATTATTTGAGCGCTTATGTCCTGAGGCTCTAATTCTTGCAGCTGTCCCACATTCAGACCAGAATAGCAGTGCTGACCGGAAATATAACCACAGACCTGCGTTTTACACGTAAAATACGTCATGTTTCTGGATTAAAATGTCACAAAAACGACTGGATATTGATTCTATTTTCAGCTGAGGTGTGTGTTCACCAAAATGTGTCAAAGAAATGAGGTTTAATCCACCTCAATGTACTGACCCTTTAACTCCAACCAAAACAACACACACACACACACACACACACACACACACACACACACACATTGTAAGATACGAAGACGTTACAGTGTTTGTAGCATGTGTGTGTCTCACCCTGTCCCACAGTCCACCACACAGGGAGGCAGTTGCATGTTGTCGGTCAGTGGTCTCTGCAGAGAGTGTGACGTGATGGAGACAGAGTGAGAGAATGTGTGTGTGTGTGTGTGTGTGGGGGGGGGGAGTA